TGATACTTAAGTCACACTGACGCCAAGAAAACTGATAACACTAAACCTTGTCGTATTTTAACCCCAGACAGTCATTATACAGAAGCTAGGCTACTCGTTATTCAAATACTGATAATCTTGATAAGATGGATTATAGCCGTTTTGTTTGAAGGTGTAAAACGAACTGTTGCGTCCTTGATGCTGGGACAACTTCAGAAAACGGTTGCAAAGTAACCAACGGAAATACACAAACACACACACTAAAGTTGTAAACTGTAGAACTTGTAGTAATGTTTCGCAATATGCAAATCACCTTCAGTTATCCTTGAAAGAACAGAAAATAAATTCAAAAAAATATTTTGGCACATATTTAGGTCGACCTAGCACTTCCTTTATCTATAATACACCAAGTTTACAGTTGTTCGTTTTAACTTTCTATAACATTTTGAGTTAAAGTATAATATTGAAGCCAATTTGTCTCTCTCTTGTTCTGGTTTTATAAAAAGCGGGAAAAGTTTTCAAGCTAATTTTAGGAAGACTGTTTATTGAACAGACTTCACATGACTAAGAATTGTGAGACATATATCCAAGCTTGAGAATATTTCAGTCGCGGAGGCGTTAAAATATGACCGTTAACTCCACGATTTGTTGGTAAAGAGTTGACGGATGGTGTTATTTAGCTGCGTTCCCTCTAGTCTATCACTTCAAAATTAGGGACAACTAATGCAGTTTTGTGCGAAATTCAAGAACCCAATGAATGTTTGGCAATTGTATTTTGATCTTGTAATGAAAAAATAAGGCATTTTAGACAAATAAATCACAAACTTTTTTTCTATTCCAACAGCCTTAAAAATAAAAATGGAATTGGCTATTAATGCGGATGATGACGTTACCTAATATATTTTTCTTGCCTAATAATCACTAGTAGTAATTTTGTAAACGCAAAAGCAATTATTATTCGGACACTAGTATTTTAAAAACATCGTTCTAATGAGATGATCGATTTTAATAATAGAAAAATTGGAAGTGATCTTCGACATATCCAAATGAGAAACATGGGAATACTGTAGATGGTGACATAGAAATGTAGAATCTAATCAGACTAATATTTGAAAAACGTCAACATTCTTCCCTAAACGATTACTAAAGGTGTTGTTTATAATCTTAACCTCCCCATATTATATCGATGCATTAATTAGATCGTAACAACATATAGTATTTAAGTGAGTTTGACAGCACTTTACATTTATTTGGCACCTTTGCTTTTGAAACTCACCAATTTTACTAGATATTCTAGTTGCTACAGATCCAACAGACCTTGTATTATTACAGTTATAGATAATCTAGTTGCTACAGATCCAACAGACCTTGTATTATTACAGTTATAGATAATCTAGTTGCTACAGATCCAACAGACCTTGTATTATTACAGTTATAGATAATCTAGTTGCTACAGATCCAACAGACCTTGTATTATTTCAGTTCTAGATATTCCAGTTACTACAGATCCAACAGACCTTGTATTATTACGGTTCTAGATATTCCAGTTGCAACAGATCCAACAGACCTTGTATTATTACAGTTATAGATATTCTAGTTGCTACAGATCCAACAAACCTTGTATTATTAAAGTTCTAGATATTCTAGTTGCTACAGATTCAACAGACCTTGTACTATTACAGTTAGAGATATTTTATTTGCTACAGATCCAACAGACCTTGTATTATTACAGTTCTAGATATTCTAGTTGCTACAGATCCAACAGACCTTGTATTATTACAGTTATAGATAATCCAGTTGCTACAGATCCCACAGACCTTGTATTATTACAGTTATCGATATTCCAGTTGCAACAGATCCAACAGACCTTGTATTATTACAGTTATAGATATTCTAGTTGCTACAGATCCAACAAACCTTGTATTATTACAGTTATCGATATTCCAGTTGCAACAGATCCAACAGACCTTGTATTATTACAGTTCTAGATATTCTAGTTGCTACAAATCCAACATACCTTGTATTATTACAGTTACAGATAATCTAGTTGCTACAGATCCAACGGACCTTGTATTATTACAGTTATCGATATTCCAGTTGCAACAGATCCAACAGACCTTGTATTATTACAGTTATAGATATTCCAGTTGCTACAGATCCAACAGACCTTGTATTATTACAGTTATAGATAATCTAGTTGCTACAGATCCAACAGACCTTGTATTATTACAGTTCTAGATATTCTAGTTGCTACAGATCCAACAGACCTTGTATTATTACAGTTATAGATATTCCAGTTGCTACAGATTCAACAGACCTTATATTATTACAGTTATAGATAATCTAGTTGCTACAGATCCAACAGACCTTGTATTATTACAGTTATAGATATTCTAGTTGCTACAGATCCAACAGACCTTGTATTATTACAGTTATAGATAATCTAGTTGCTACAGATCCAACAGACCTTGTATTATTACAGTTTTGCTTGCTTAAATTCATTTCAAACGTTAACAAAAAAAAAATCATGAAATTATCTTTTGGTTTCACGTTATCGAATAAACTATTTAATAAAGAAAATATGAGCACGTGTGACGAAGACTGATTTACTTTAAATATGGTGGCTTTAAGTCCTTAAAGAATCCCAGAATTCTATGTATCGGAACAATAATCATTCTTCCATTAGGATCGGGAACATATTAACATGATGTTCACGTTCCACTTTTACCACTCTCAGTCCAGAATTAAAATACTATACGGTTATAATTCAGTATTTGTGGCTAATTATTCATTCACTTTCCATAAATCCTAAGACGATGTGATCAATTATGGAAACAAGAAAAATATATTTTGAACTTATCCTACCCACTCTTCAAATACACGTTCAATTGGTCACAAAAGTTTGTAAAGACTGGATAATTCATCGCTAACTGTATGCTTGTAAGATTACCACTAAAATGCCCGAGTTTTACGAAACCTTCGTATTCGTATTTCAGACTAGTGTAACAACACGACATTTATTTATAGAAGAAAAAAATCAAAAAAACAAAACAAAAACGCAACATAACAGAAAGAAGAATGAACAAAGTCGTGAAGTCCGTGATTATTAACTTGTCATCAACAAACCTAAGAAACAGTGCGTTGCAAAATAGACATCAATATCAAACGAAGATGTAACAGCTAAAAAATAACAATATGTCAGAAGATCAAATATATAAAAAAGAAATATATACTTTAATTTTCAAAGTATTAGTTGTTAGTAAAAACTTCTAAGTGAATATAAGTAAACGTGCTTAAGTAATATATCAGCCACATCATATTTGATACAATATGAAAACAAAATACTGAGAATAATATTAGTATATATGATTTCAATATTAAATACTTAAAAGTCACTCATGCTGATGAAGAACTAGGTACTGGTTCTACTTTAGCTACACTTAAGGCTTAGAAAAAAGCTTAAATATTCAATACATGTTTCTTTTTGTTCTTTTCTTTAATTGGATAATATTTCTAAACAACCGTGATTTTCTGAATCCGACATCTTATACAGCAAATGAGAACATTAAATATATTTATTTTTAATGTTTTTTTTCCCTAGAACTAAATATTTATACACAGTTAGTGCATAGTACATAAAGACATTAAAGTATAGCTCTGTTTCTCTTGGTTGAAACTACACATTATATTTACTTGTTATCGTACTACGTTACTACAGTTAGCTTTAGTAAGAACAAAGAAAGTCCAACTATTTTTCTGTAGTTCTGTGGAATTCATAGTCATATTAGATTTACGGTTATCG